CAAAAAAGAATTCAGCCCTGTTCTGTTTTCAGATAAGAGCCCGGGCATGCGTGAATCAGCATTCATAAGTAGTAGCTGGTGTAGAGAGCAAAAAGGAGATAAACACAGTGACAGACAGTTGATTTTTATAGGATTAAGTCGAGACAAGTTTTACTTTGAGATTCTCCCAGCTTCACCTTGAAACGTGTTTTAAGGTTAAACGCGGCCGAGGAAAGCTTAGAAATGAAAGATCAGATTAAGTGGTTGGGTGTTCTCCATATCAAGTCATTAATTTGAAGAGTTATGAATGTGTTGCATTTTAATACGATTTTTCCTCAGGTGACAAAGAAAGAGTCGGGCTCATACCGAGCTGCTGTGTCGGATGGGAGAGGAGAGGATGTGAGCACCTTGGAGCTACTGGATGACGGTGAGACACGACCTCCTATCCACACACAGGACGTCTGCGCATTACAACACATTTTGCACCTATTTGATAGATGTGTGTGCTTTTTCTTTCCTGCTTTTAACAAGGTCTAACAGCAAAATAAAGCACAGTTATTTTTATGTTTTTTACAGAGTATGACAAGCTTCTCCAGCAGCTGAGCAGACAGTGTGGTGAGTCACACAAATTCAGAACAACCTTTGTGAAATGTGCCAGTGACTTGTTTTGTTTTGTTTTTTTATATCTGGTGACAATAAAATACCTGAAAGCCGTGTTGATTAACTATGATGTGTCAGAATATTAATGTGTTGAGCTCCCGAGATGAGAAACACTTTGTTTTAAAAACGCTAAGAAACCTGAAATATATGCAAAGTGTGGCATTAAATAATCAAGGACCCCGGCCTCTCTGCAGCTTTGTCGGCCAGCCCGCTGAGGATTCAGAGCACCGCCGAAGGTTTCAAGCTCTACTGCTCACTCAAATACTATATAAGCTTCCTGAAGACCAGCTGGCAGTTCAAGTGAGTCCACACCTCTGTGACCTAACATCCTATGTGTAGCCGCTGCCAAGGAGGAAGTATATGAAGTTAACTTAAATTCTGTGAGAGAACAAGCCGCAGGCGAGGGGCATTTGTTTTCATCTTCAGCACCATGCGGATCTAGGACTGTGATCACATTGTTTACTACGAGTCAAAGAGGTGCAACTCTGTAAATGTCAAGCAAAAAGACAGGAAGATGTACATCATGCCGCTGAACCCTTTAACTGTCACAAGCACGAAAACTGGCTGATCGATGAAGATGCGCTCACACAGCTGCAGTTAAAGCACATGTACACAGCATAGACCGTGAAAAGAAGCTACGCCTACTGCACATGCACACACACACATCCCATTATGTTAACAGTGATGGATTGTAAGCATATCTATCTACTTTTTTTTTTCGACTTTTGGTCGAACAAAACAGGTGTCGCTTCGGGCTGTGGGTAACTGTGAAAGTATTTCTCACTATTCTCTAAATTTTTACAATCAATCAACTACCTGATTAGCAGATTAATAAAACAAGTGATTGGTTTTAACCCTGCACAGAAAAGTTAAATGCTTACTTAAGTGACATTTTCAGGATTTCTAATGGAGTGTTTTTACATTGTGGTGTGAGTACTTTTACTGAAGTGCATATTAATTTACTGCAACATTTCTTCATATTGTGGTAAAGAGTGGCGCTCCTTTAGTAATATATAATACTCCTACTAATACAAACAAAGTAGAGCTTTGGTGTCTGTTTCACTTCTGGATAGTGAAGCTCCTGGTTCATCCTACATGTTTATTATAATCAGTTAAACATTATACTCTGCAACCAATGTCTGTAAAAGCTTAAATTGTAAAGGAGAACCTAAAATTTTCAAGGAAACCAAATATTGATGCATAATGATGAACAAATAATAACCCTGAGTGTTTAGGTTGGAACAGGCAACAGATTGTTTTTTAACTCAGGCTTATAGCACCACCTTCTGGAGTGTTTAGGAATAGCCACTGCAAAAGAGAGAACTGTGAGAAGCAGACTGACAATGTTTTAAAACCCTGGATGAACAGTAGTGTGTCAGTCCAGTCAATTTTCTGTTTTAATTTTCTTTACCTTAATAACATTCTTTTTTTGTTGGACACAGAGCACTTACTTAGCCAAATTACTTGATATTTGATCAATGATAAGTACCAGGAGCGGTTTAACTGTAATGCATAGTTTACCATCTCTAGGACTAAGGTCAGTACACTGATCAAGGCCAAAAGCTAAACTGTGCACCAAACACGCATGACTTTGTGAAGGATCTGCCACACACAAATAGGTTCATTGTTTACCTGAGTTTCTATCTATATCATACACGACTGTATAAAAACAGTATATCTGTGCTCTTAGGGAGAAGAGGATCGACCAGGAGGGCAGGGCAAGGCCTGGCAGCAGCATGCAGAATGTGTGGGTTGAAATCGTAAACCCAACAGAGAGCGATAAAGGCAAATACACCCTGGAGATGTTTGATGGCAAAGAGACACACAAACGGTTTCTTGACCTGACGGAAAAAGGTGTGTTTACATGTCCTGTTGGTTTAAAGGATCTCGCCTGAAACAACATGATAGAAGGTTGTTTCCTCAGTTTTCATCGTCTTTATTATTATCACTTTCAGTCTTTGCTGACATCATGGTGGAGCACCAGAGGTTGAAGTAAGTGCTGCAACATATACATTAGAGGAGGCATGGTGTGCTGTGTCACTAACAGAGAAGAGGAGAGGAGTCAGAGGTAACATACTGTTTTGGAAAAAACCTACACAAGGGTTGTTTTGCTTGAAAACTGTTCCCTGAAAAACACCTCAGCAGAGTTTCCGATACCTGACACCGTACAGTGTTGTATTGATTTGAGCCTTTGTTTTCATTCCTCAGGCAACTGGCCATTGCTGAGAGAAGTAAGTCACAGGTTATGTGTTGATCGTAAAATATGTTTGTTCTCGGCAAAGAATAAAAGATTCAGCTGTGGGTGTTGGCAGAGTCATTGTTGGTTTGTTTTCTTTTGTTTCAGAGCGGGCCAAAGTGACAAAGGGTCTTCCTGATGTCGTAGCCATCATGGAGGGCAAGGTACGCCATTGTCAGGGATCAGCTGTGGTCACAGACTGTTAATTCTTGCAGATTGGACCCTCAGTGTGTTCCATCATTTTATATTTTCTTGCCTCCACTCTTTAGTCTCTTTGCCTGACGTGCTTCATTGACGGCGAACCATCCCCAGAGATCTTCTGGCTTCGTAACGACAGGGAGATCGTTGACCAGACCCATTTTACCATCACTAAGGAGCCCAAGTGCAGCACAATCACTGTCCACAACGTCAGAATGGATGATTCTGGAAAGTACAGCATCTTTGTGCGTAACCAGTATGGTTCTGAAACGGTGGATGTGACGGTGAGCGTTTACAAGTACGGGGAGAAGCCTCCAGCTAACGCTGTGGAGATGGGTTAACACTGCAAATTCTATCAGAAATTACGTTTTTTGCAGGGATGTTATGCTTTAGCTTGGAGATTTTACAAGTATAGATGTTTCTTTCCTAAAACAAGACTATGTAACTTGGAAAAATAAATAATTAAATTCCCCTCACACACGAAAAGCCCTACAGACTTACTTAGCATGGTGCAGTAGCTTTTACTTTACACAAGCTAAAATGTTAGCTGATTAGCTTACATCATCAAATATTAGCTACTACTATAGCTAACCATACACAGCCTGGTGTTAGCCCACATTAGCTTACACCAGGGTGTCCAGTCCTGGTCCTCGAGGGCCACGGTCCTGCACGTTTTAGATGTTTCCCTGTTCCAACACAGCTGATTCAAACGATCAGGATCGTTATCAGGCTTCTGCAGAGCTTGATGATCAGCTGATCATTTGAATCAGGTGTGTTGGAAGAGGGAAACATCTAAAACGTGCAGGACCGTGGCCCTCGAGGACCAGGATTGGACACCCCTGGCTTACACCACCATAGTGAGGCCTACTATTATAGTAGCCAATGTTAACAATCATGTTAGCATTAGCTGAAAACACATTAATTAGCTAAACTAAGTTCAGATATCCATTTATAACTGGCATTACTCAGCCAATTTGCTGACTCAAACGCTTCTCTTTTGAATTTTCTTTATCTGTGCTACTGTTCTGTTTAATTTATATTTATATAGCATTAAACATAACATAAGTCACCCCAGGACACTTTACATGTTCAGGTCAATACCCGACAGGATGTTACTGCTGCACTGCATCTTATCATTTAGCCACTTATGGCCACAGTGGCATCGTCCGACAATAGTTATGTGGTCTCGCTTTAAGTGCTTTTGTGAGTGCACAAACTGCATAACCCTCGGCTTCTGGAATGTGCTTTTGGTGAAACAGGTGTGTCGTTTGTTTGTGTGTGTTCTGAATAAAGCAGTTTCAAGTTTTCTCTGGTGCATTATTCTTGTGAGAACTCCTATATCTTTACATTCTTATTCGGCAAACATTATGATCAATTATTAAATACAGACAACAGAATACTTTGTGTAAGACTTTGCAATGAGTAGTTTTGTGTCTTTCGCTTTAAAAGCAAATAGTCCGCAGAGTCATTGACCCCACTGCTGTCCGCCACTTTGTAAGGCACGTTCACATTTGCAGGTTTAGAGATGCAGGAAAGGCTGCAGACGTGCACAAAGTTAAGTTTGGATGAAAATACATGTGTATTAAATCAATTTTGCATTTTCTGATGTTAATCCTGCATCCTGAAATTCTTCTGAGGAATGTGGACAGTAAATGAAGATCTGACCATTTTATGTTCCCTCTGCATCCGATCATTAATCACAAATAACTATGGAAACATGTAAATATGCATTTTACGTATGAAAGACACAAAATTTTTGCCCATATTTTATGAAACATGTACCTAAACTTGCCATCTATCTTTGGTGGCAGTTGAGGTTTGGCCAAGCAGGTGTAAGTGAACTCCAGGTTGTTCAAACAGAAGTTATTACTTCAGAGGAGTTTGTTACTCATTAGACATTGTACCAGGACCCTCGCGTTATAAAAAGGTGTGGGGGCATATTCACATTCTCCACATTGTGTTGAGCTTCACACAGCTGTCAAAGCCTTCAGCCACCTTGGTAAAGGAGAACCCAGACCCTCTCGGAAACATGGACTTCAGTGGAACATGGCAGGTCTACGCTCAGGAGAACTACGAGCAGTTCCTCAGGGCTATGGGTAAGAAATGGGTTGATATGTGAAGGAAAACTAGTTTGTCTGATAGATTCGGCTTCACCAACCACACAAGACAACATGGTTCTGTCATCCAGAGAGTCATCAGTCTTTACTTATAAGCTTTACGGTGCATGAAAAACGTGTGTTTTGCTCCACAGAACTCCCAGAAGATGTCATCAAGATGGCCAAGGACATCAAGCCAATTACTGAAATCAAGCAGTCTGGAAATGACTTTGTTATCACCTCCAAGACCCCTGGGAAGTCTGTGACCAACTCCTTTACCATCGGCAAGGAGGCTGACATCACCACCATGGACGGCAAGAAGCTTAAGGTCACTAATCCTCATTTGCCTTTCATTTTGCAAGAACCGTAAGATGCAAAACTGCTTTAAAGCACAACTGTGTAACTTTTGTTATGCAGTCCTGTGATGCTGTGTCACACTCATAGACTAGAGTCAAAGTGCTACTGGTGATAATAACTGGCATGACTGGATTTTATATATGTTAGTGTTTGTTTAGAGGGATTCATTCTATATTGTCTTTCTCTAATCCCACAGTGCATTGTCAACATGGAAGGAAGCAAAATGGTGTGCAAAACTGGCAAGTTCTGCCACATCCAGGAGCTCAAGGGAGGAGAGATGATTGAGGTACAGTGCATCTTACCAGAGCTCAGTTTTGCATAAACGGGCATATCTAGATCCAACAAAATAAGCCTAAAAAGTATTTCTTTATCTCATGCATGCACATTGAGATGTTTTTTTTCTCTCTTTCCCTTTTCAGACTTTGACCATGGGCTCAACAACTCTTGTCAGGAAGAGCAAAAAGATGTAAACTTGACAGTGAAGAAACCAATGTCTATTTAAATAAAAAATGAAAAAAAGTTGCCTAAAAAGTGCTGTTTGTGTCATCTTTCTGAAAATGCCTGTGCACCGTTCTCTTTGTGATACATACACCTAACATTCAGGATTAAAGATATATAGTATGAAACAGATCAGTGCGAGGAGAGGTCAGGTCAAAGTATTGTAACTGTGGTGTATTGAGAAACCTACATGGTGGTGCATGTGTATACTTCTGTTGTTGTGGGGACATTCCACAGTCACACCTCCTTTTTGGGAATAAAAAGCAAATCCTGATTACATAAATTACGATGGTTTAAGAGAAAGACTTGGTTTACGTTTTGGATCAGGTTCGGATAAAGCTGCGGTAAGAGTTACGGTTAAAGTAAATGAATGTACGTCAACGTAATGTCCTCTGAAGTCACGAAAATAGGCCTCCGTATGTGTGTGTGTGTGTGTGCGTGCAGTACGTCTTCGTGGCCGTAGAGCTTTGCGCATGCGCAGAGCGAACATAATACTCTGACCACGTAGCTAGTGTCAGCTGCAGCAGAGCATCAAGGTTTGTGACAAATAGCTGCAATAAACGAATTCACGGCCTCCAAGCTGTAGCTAACGGGCCGCGGAAAATGGCGAGGTACCTGAGGCCTCCTAACACGTCTCTTTTCGTTAGAAACATCGCCGACGAGTCCAGGTATGTTTTCATTTCCAACCCCTGCTGGCGTGTGTGCAAGCATGGTCAAGCTAACGTGATGCTAGTTAATTAGCAAACAGCAGTTTCCCCCAAAATAGCGAACTGACGTCAGCGCTACCAGCGAGTCCACTGAGAGCGGATTTATTTTTTTAGTTATTTAATAAGCTAAAGTAGCTCCAGATAACCGTTAACAGCTGTCATTTAACACATTTCCTCCTACGGGGTTTGCTAATACCTTCCAGACAGGTAGCTGAAAGGACTGTTGTAGCAGAAGGTAACGTTACTCCAGTAAAGCCTTCATGGTTACACAGTGAACTAGTGTTCTTGTCTTACTGCTTTATTTTAAGTACGTGTGTGCAAAATTGTGGACAACAGGGTCTCTCTTTTTTAACAGTCTATTTAAATTAATTTACTAGTAAATTAATAATGCCGTGGTTACCATTTGCTATAAGCTGTCACGTCCCATCTCCAAACAAGTCGAGCTACAAAAGCTAGTAGCAGGTTAGCACATGATTGGATCTAACAGTTATTCATATGTAATTGCAAACTGATGAATAAAACATCGCAGGGGAGGCCAAAACAAAACTTTGAAACTAAGCAAGTTTGCTGATAACTATAATGTTTACTTATTGAGCTCTTGTCAAAACTGAAGTAACAGGTAAACCCAAGTAACTGATGATAGTGTAATTTTAAGTATAAAAACCAATACAGTATTGGAAAAGGTTAAAATATTTTTGACTGATGTTGCTGTGGGCTGTCATTACCTGGTACCCACGCTGTTGTGTGCTATTCTCATTGAACAGTAACCTGTAAAGCAGGGGTGTCCAATCCTGGTCCTCGAGGGCCACAGTCCTGCATGTTTTAGATGTTTCCCTCTTCCAACACACCTGATTCAAATGCTCAGGATGGTTATTAGGCTTCTGCAGAGCTTGATGATGAGCTGATCACTGGAATCAGGTGTGTTGGAAGAGGGAAACATCTAAAACATGCAGGATTGTGGCCCTCGAGGACCAGGATTGGAGACCCCTGCTGTAAAATGGTACATTCCAATCCATGACACACCCTATTAGTGTTTTTAAGACGTTTTAACAGACCCAACTTAGACTTTCAGAAGTTAAACTAGAACTCATACAGTGTTAATAAAGGTTGCCTGCATCACACATTTTTTTCCCTCCTGTACTTCACCTGTGGTATCTATCGAGACATGCAGATATGCTTCAGATTTATGTGTAATTTGTGACGCTTACCCCTGAAATACAGCGGAAGTGAATGAAATCTTGTCTACTTAATGTATTAAAAACTCAAACTTGTCTCTCGAGATGTGTTACCCTTATTACGCTTGATAATCCAGAGCCCTCTGTGTGAATAGTTTTCACTTGAACAACTGTCTGGTAAGAAAAATAGTCTCTTAGCAGTTAAATCGGCAGTTTTTAGAGCTTTAATCACCAACATATGAGAGACAGCACTTAATTAAGTTCTTCAGAGTTAAATTTTTAATACAGTTAATACATTTATACTACTTGTAGGATAACTAACAAACCTGTAATTTCCCCACTTTTGTAAAACAGACGATGCATGCCATTTCTGGCTTTTACGGCTGCGATGAATGTGTGAAGTTGACGTTGGCTGGCTGGGTTTTTTATTTGCACAATTTCACCTTAATTCTTAAGATGAGGAAACTTCCTATGAAGTGGGAGGATAACAAGACTTGTCTGCTTCTAATTTTTTGTGATATGCTGTGCTGGCACCAGCTCTTGTGTATACCCTGCACACTGGACTCCAGCCAAATTCACATGGTAGCCAGTAGAATAAATGTGCTTATTTCATGACACTTTAGGCCAGAGGATTTGCGACGTGAGTTTGGTCGTTATGGGCCTATTGTAGATGTCTACATTCCACTTGACTTCTATACACGGCGGCCAAGAGGATTTGCTTACATTCAATATCCTTTATTCTTTTAATTTTGATTTGGAAATGGTGTGTTCGCTTAGGGGATTGTAAAGCATTCAATCTGAACTTTTGGTTGCTGTGGGTTCAGTGACACTTGACCTGACGTTTATTCATTCGGTGAAGTATCATGTCGTGTTTATCCCTTTGCATGGGAATGCTTCTGTAATTGTGTTTTTCATGTTATTTGATATCTCTAGCACTATACCTATTCCTAACCAATATTTCTTCTGTTGTTGCCTCAGAATGGTAAAGATACAGTTCTGGAGACCCCACACCAAAGAAAGTTGAAAGGCGGTTGTAGAGTAGATTCAAGCCAAAGACACCCAGGCGACAAGCAATAGTGGAATTTGGAAAATAAAGAGAAAGCGAAAGCATGAAGATACAAAGAGGACAAAAAAGAGAGCACCCAGGCTTCCATTTGTCTGCCAAAGGGAGGAAAAGTGTTTATTGGGCAAAGACAAGCAGGAAACCTCAAGTTCTTCTGCCAAGACAGTAAAGATCAAGCTGAAGGTCAAAGGTCAAGCATGTTAAAGGTAACAAGAGAAACTTTTTGTATCCTACCAAATTTGATCACCATCAATATTTGTCTTGTCTTCACAATCTGAAATCACAAATGGGACAACTTATTCAGTTTTATGTTTCATAATTGCCGTTGGTATCACTGAAGACAATCCACCATAAATTTGCTACAATATGCCAAACCAATGATTTATTAGAAACTTTTTTCAGTTTTAAATTGTTACCTGAAATAACAGATTTCTCACCTCACTGATCTAATAGCTGTGTGTGTGTTTGGATTTGGAGCTTTCAACCTGTGTTGCAGGTTGTTTTTTTTTTCTTGCTTGTTGTGCATGTGTGCAGTTGTCTGTCCCACTTTTCAAATTTCAAAACAAAGGGCCTTAACAAATCCAGCATGTTTGAAGATGTCCGGGATGCAGAAGACGCTCTTCACAACCTTGATCGTAAATGGGTCTGCGGGCGCCAGATCGAGATCCAGTTCGCCCAGGGAGACCGCAAGAGTATGAACATCTGACACATTGCCTTTGAGCATAAACCTCATACAGCACTGTGTGTGAAAAGTGTACCTAATGTTTTGATCTAAATTTGTTCATCAAGCCCCAAACCAGATGAAGGCCAAGGAGCGCCATTCCCCTCGCAGCTTCTCCCGCTACGATGACGAACGGGATGGCCGCAGAAGACGCTCCCGGAGCCGGAGTTACGACCGCCGCAGGTCCCGGAGCCCCTCTTTTGAGCGACGCCCTCGGAGATCTGAAAGCCCCAGAGAGTGAGTGGTTGACACCTTTTACACCTGAAGACCGCAACCATCAGTTTATCAGGAAACCTTTTGTAGTTTTACACTATATTTAATTAGGTGATTTAAAATGCGTGTATTGAGTTTAATAAAAACGCCCCTCGTAGTGTTTTTAAGAAGTTGTAAGAGATGCAACTCAAATTTTAATATGTATCACAAAACAAACAAAATGAGTTGTTTTTGTTAAGCTGAATTTAAATGTGTAAACTCTAATCATTTATTTGAAAAGTGTAGTCTGTAGAGTTGGTCCGACTCTTCTCATCTGCAGCTGTGTGTGCTATAGAAGAGGAGCTGCTACAGGCTCACTCATTACAATATGTTCACAGGGTTTATGTGTCATATTATCATATTGGAAAATCATGCATGTTTTATTTCAGGTGTGATTTGATAAGCTCACACAATTTAGTTGATTAAAATTTGGGTCATATTGTGTTGGTTACTTATTCCTTTTGGTATAATCAGGAAGTTGTGCTCTGCTTTATTACACACAGCAACAGTACTCGTTGTCCTATCACGGTGGTGCGTCCAAGTTATACAGTAACTCAGTAAAGCTGTTTCTTGTTCCTTCAACAGGTCGAGGTCCTACAGTCGACATCGACGGAGCAGAAGCCACGAAAATGACAAGTAGGCTGAGCTGCATCTTCCGGTATTGCAGTGATGACTAACATTTCACTGTGCCCACTCTGAGCATTAATAATGTTCATCTTACCAGGTACAAAGCTCCGACCCGCGACCACCACAGGACACACCACGAACCAGGTTCACGTAGTCGTTCCACTTCCCGCTCCCCTTCACCATCCAGATCAAGACCCAAAGGCAAAAAGAGCCCGTCCCGGTCACACAGCCCGGCCGAAGACTTCCACCCGACCTCCAGCTCTCAAAAACAGCCCGTGGGGAGATCTCCATCCCGTTCCTACTCTAGATCCATGTCTCGGTCACGCTCTCGCTCCAGGTCCTGGGCTGGACGCAAGTCTGGAGGCCACTGACTCGCTTGTTCCCCCCCCAAGCGCTCCGTTTGTGTCTGTCTAAGGATGTTTCTGTATAACTTTCGACTATAACTACAGTGTATTGCTCACTGCTTGCATTTATCACCTCATTAAGGAGGAATCTGTTGCCAAGGGAATGAGAGCAGCAAGAGCTAAGAATTTTTTTTAAACGTGGTGTAAAAGGTTTTTCTGAAATGAATCGTTGAAGCACAGTTGATACCAGGAAGTGAGGGAAACTCTCCCTCATTTCAGGGTTAACAGATTTTTCACTAAACCTGCTTTGTGAAACAGACACCAGAGGATTTTTTTTTTGTACATCTGCAACGTTGGGTGCTGAAAGACAATAACAGTAGCTTTGGCTTTACCAATGATATTTTTGTATTTTAAGTTACATTCATAACATGTCATGTGTCTCAGTTTGGTTCTAGTGTATTATGTAAACAAATATTAAAGTAATAAGCTTAAGTCCCTAACTTACCAGTATTTACTACATGCCCTGGCCTTATGTGCTTGGTTTCAGCAGGTTAACAGTACACTAGAGTAGCTGTAATTACTGTGGCTATGGGTGATATACTGAATGTAGTTAGTTGGTTCCCAAGATGATTACCAGTATTTTGTTTGTGAGAATGTGTTCGAGATGAACGGCAATCAATTTACATGTCCTTTGTTTAGTGAGTGAAACCAAGTCCAGGTCACCCTCAGTAATGTTACCTTTGTTTAACTGTTTTCCTTTGTCAATAAAGAAAGAAGTTCTCACCATGTTGTTATTTTTAAAATTAACACCTAAAGCATACTCTGACTTTGGTAACATAGCAATGATCATTATAACAGTTGCTCTGAGCACCAACACGTATTCAAACACAGACAAGAAGTAGGGGGGAAGGGGAAGGGATTTATTTTTCTTTTTTTTTTTGTAAAACTTTGTCATCAATTCATAGAATGTATTCTTATACATATATATTTTTTAAATACCAATTCATACCAATTTTAAACAGGGCACATTTCTTAATATTCGGTGACATATCAGAGGGACAAATTAACAGCCAATTTTTAAGAGTTTCAAATTTAGAACGAGGAGACTTTGCCATGCACGACTCAATCTGGGCAAGAAAGAAAGAAAGAAAGGTTTACATGAAGAACCAAGAGAAGGCAGTACTTAAACAGCACAGAGCCAAAATCAGCTGTCAGTTGGCGGAAGAACAACTGAGAAATGAAAGTGGCTCTGATGGAAACATTTGGTCAAATTTGGTAAATTGCCATCTGATGGATATTGTCAGTTTCAGCATGAGTTTTAACTTAGGCACAAAGTTTGTCAACTTAAGATTAAAAGCATCACGCTTACAGACTGTAAGCACATTCATAAATCCTTACATATGCAAGTCTCCCAAAATCCAATTGATATTTTGTTGCAGTTTTACTTATTTTGCACTTAGCATCTTTCACCCTACACTGCATAATACAAAACAATAAAAAACATGTGCAAGATCTCTGGAAAGATTACAGTGCAGGGGGTTTTGACAAATGCTATAGGCAGATTTTTTTAACAAAAATATTCTTCAGTATTGAAGTTAAGACATGTCCTTAGCATGTCTTATACATTCAGTGTTATTACTAAAAATACTTTTGTCGGACAGGCCTCAAACTTGGCCTGCAAATGTACATATGCTACAAGTACTTTATACATTTCATTATTTACATGGCTCTTTAACATACTAACAAGCTCTCATACTTTGTTTTGTCGTCTTTACGCTGGCCATGAACAGCTCCAATTCTGCAAAGGGAAAGCAAAAAGAGCCTCAATAGAGGATTGAATCACAAAAATAGAGAATCCATAGGAAGATAGTCAATTGCGCCTCCATCATTTCAATAGCATCCTGGCCTGTAACTTACAAAAAAAAAAAAAGTTTGATTGCAGTGCAAGAGGGTAAACAATAGGCAGAGGCAAGGGGCAGCAAGTGTCTGTTGATTATGGGATGGTCAGCCATTGAGACCTATTTTGTAAACACAAACACCAGCCTCCTGCCTCATGTTGAGCCCCTTGGGCTACTTCACTTCAGAAACCTTCCTCAGCTCTGTCTCACCTTGCGCATGAATGCACGCAGCCAACAGGACCATGTCATGTGACTTAGCAAGAAAGTGAAACTCCACAGTCCCACATGTAAGCCAGGCCCTCTTCCGCATGTTAAAGCTGCTGCACTGCCCTGAAGAGACAGAGGCTGAGGAACAATAACAGTACTGAGTGGAACAGATGAACATTTAGGCAACCCGGGGGACATCAACCCATTCACCACTCGGGCTGGCAAGGTTTAAGTGGCAGTGGCAACAATGCCAACCACACAGATGTCCAAAATAAAAAAGGAAATACAGCAAAACATTGCTTTGGTTACACACAGCACTTCATACATCTTTCAACCACAACAAAAAAGGACTTGTACAAAATAATGCTATGATAGAGTGTTGCGGACCTTAGACACACCCAACTCCTATAGTGCATGTGCGCACAGCGCAATAAAAAAGGATACAGGAGTTGGGGGTCCAAGGCCTGTGTGCCATGGTCTCTTACTACCCTTTGTTTGAGGTTATACTTTCGACCTGTACTCACCAACTACAGCTCAACTCCAGTAAAATAGCTTTTTTTTCCCTGCAGAATTGCAATTGAGTGCATTTTCCATCTCAAACAAAGAATGAGATACAAATACGAAAAGAAATCGGGCCCTTGTCAAAAAATGCTACAAATGTGAACTTGCTTTAGCACCTGAAGGTTTAGAGGTGACTCCAAAGGATCCTCATAGATCCTATGTAAATGAAAAGGCATGTCTGTCCACAGAAATGGACTGTAAAAGTGATGGGAATTAACCTGACCTATACTACACCCTTGTTTGGGTTAAAAGTGCACTCAATCTGCCTCTTGACAGCCAACATTAAAAAGAACAAAACAAAACACAAATACAAAGGATATCCAGTTTGTCATTAGTCACAGAAACTAACTCTACTGAAGGCATAACCGACCAGCAAGGCTGCAAGGCTGTAATATTTTAAAATATTGATTTTAAAATGGATGTTAAACATTACCAGCAAAACATTGCTGCAAATACCCACTAACCCTCAAAGAGGTCAGCCTAAAAAACAGCTAAAAGTATTACAGCACTGAGGCGTTCCTGGTGGGTGGGTGCCTCAACAGAGTCCCAGTCCATGCATTGGCTTTTCTTTTTTTTTTTTTTGAAACGATCAAGTGTGGGTATCCCTCTCAGGCCTGCACCTTCAGAAGGCTCTTGAGCTGAAAGGCCATCATCTCCCTGTTGTCACAGGAGCCTAATGGGAAAGACACCCAGTGGCTGGGGGGTTTGGGCAACACGCTGGGCGAGGGTGGCTCGCTAAACTTAGGCCCTGCATAGCTCGGGCTGCCCTGGGTAGCCAGGAGCGTGTTGAGGTGAGACACTGCACCCTCCCAGTTCTGATCATAGTTGGTGGCAAAACGGACAGAAGCATTCTTCTCTGCAGACGCGGCCTGCCGCGCCTCTGGAGACCTGTGGTAAGCAGCGCCTTTGTCACTCCGACGGTGGCCATGGTGGTGAAGGCCCCCTGCCCCTCCTGCAGATGCTGCTGCTGTTGTTGCTCCGTTCTGGTCACGGCTTCTCTGCTTAGCCCTGCCAAGGTGATGGTTCTTCTTGGGCAAAGGGCGCTCAGGGTGGGAAACTGGAATGTTGTACCTCTCTCCACCTCCCATATTGCTTCTGCACTACGTGTCACCTACAAGAGGAGAATACAGTATTACACTGCAAGTCTGGTAAGATATTGTGATCTGCTCCGTGGTTTTCTATTTACTGGCAGGGTAAACTGCTCACCGCCCACCGTGCACACACGTCTCAATAAAAACAAGGACGAGGGCTACGTGCAGGAACAGCAGACGGGCTGTGCAGTGTCGCCCCTCCCCCACACAAATCCAGAGCAAAACAGCCCCAGCTCACCTCTTTGTTGTCAGAAAATCGACGAAGCAGAGATCTCTCTTCAATCTTCCACCTCCGATCGGGTCCCAGGTCCTCGAAGTAGTTTTCTCTCTACTTCTCGCTGCACTTTTATGTCCAGCAAGGTCTGAGGTTTTCATGTGCCAATGAGCGTTGTTTTCTCGTGAAGCCGAGCTGAACATCAATTCACCTCGGCGCACGATGCTCCAAGAAGTCGATGGCCTTTCGGGTGCAGAGAAATGTCAGTGAGACGAGCAAAACAGACCAAACCCAAACGTCAAAAGCCTTCAAATGCGTTCTCGTCATCTAAACAAAGCACTAATGCGCTTCTCCGCGAGTGCTTTTCAGAGTGCGTCATCACCACAAATCAATAATCGACCATCAATTAGCTGATCGTCCATTCATTGCATTATGACAATTACGTTGTTTACCAACTGTACAATTCTGGCGATTATCACAATTCAACGTTACATAAGCAAACTGCGACATGTTATCCCACTTTTGTTTGTGCGGCTCAGGCTTCATACAGCAAGTGCTCGACAGAAAAAAACTCATAATTTTTTTTTAAAAAATCGATGTATGGGATTTTCATAAACGACCCCAAGTACTGACAGAAAAAATAACGCCTTCATAATATGGGTCACTCTTACTTTGGCACCGAACCAAAACAAAGAAACTGAACTTCAATATGGCGACGAGGCACAAAACTGCGTCTCTTACCGACTTCTTCAGGCTTTTGGTGGTTGAAAGCCCTTCGTCAGAATAGTATGTGGTTTAGTCTGTGAAATCCCTCGGCGGACTATGTAGGAAGTACAGGTAGCTATATTTCCCACTAATCCGTCACCTTCGATGTTTATGCGGCGTTCACAGCGGCCGTAACACCCTCCACTTCTCCCTCCCGACTCTGAATTGCAACAAAATGGAATCTACAGCACAGATATGTAGTCCGTTCGCCGTCACGATCTGACCAATCACGCATCGAGCAGGAACCCAGCGACCAATCAGCGACGACTCACACAGACGCATTCACCCCCTGTTGCCAGACCGGTGACGTCAATGGCTGGCCCTCCTCTCCTGTCCTTTGTTGGAACTCGGGTATTTCCTGAGAGAAGTGGGGGAAATAACAAGAAACAAACCACTTTCCATCACTGAAAACCTCACGTTTTCGAGCTGTATCGCGTAGGAAATCGCTCCACCGATGCGTACAACGCTGTGTGAAGGGTTTAACTCGAAAATACGTGCAGCTAAATGTTATGTAACGTCGTACTCTCGCGTAATTGAGCACATCACCGAACGCTCTTGATTTACCGAAGTGCTTCATGCTTTTTCTGCAACAGGAAATAACTGATTTTTATTTTCTGTTCCTGTTCACGTCTGTCAAACCTGTTGTGCTGCCTCCAAACAGCTGCAACAGGCTGTCATAACACACAGCGGCTCTTGTCTGTGAGCTCGGCCGCCCATCCCCCCTCATCTCATCTGTCCTGGGGACGAAAACAAAAAGTCTTGGACTCAAACCCATCATTTAAACGTCTTAGAATTTGCCAACTGGTGGGAAAACCCTGAAATTATACGTTGCGATCCATCCACTTTATATAAAATGGATATGATGGGCTATTTGTTGAATTCACAGGGTTGATGTCACTACAGCCTTCATATCAAGTGAGAGGCCTAATTTAGAAACGACCATTTAAATAAGTTGCCACCATATAAATGGCTTATTGTCATAAATCTGCACCAACATGTCGACAGGTCATTTGGGGTTGTCGAGAGTGGAAACCGTCCTTCCCTGGATGTTTTGTTAAATTTACCAGGTGTGTAATGTCAAAAAGAATGATATACACAAAGCACATCTGCTAAATTTCATAATTTAAAAAAGCATTTGTGCAATTTTAGGAAACTGAATACTGGACTAATGGCTGGATCTGGGTTTAAATAATTTCTAAAAATGTGTAGCTACAGCTTTGTATCAGTCAGAGCTAAATTATTTTGTTGTTTTATTAGAATAATGTTCCCTTCTGCTCTCAATTTGGCCTTTTAAAAGACCGTAGCGCGACATGTTTTTACCTATTTTAGACATTTGGATCTAAAATTAGAACAGTGGGTCGACATTTCACTCTACTACTAACATACCTTTGTTAAATAACTCTCTACATTCACCACAAATTCTGTTTGAGAGTCAACCTTCTTGTTTGTTTTTGATTTTGCTGGTCTAAACTTATCCTGCCACAGGCTTTTAAAAGACACCGATTGTTATAGCCTTTCAATGGGAGTGTCCAGGTCTAAGTCTAAAGCCTACAAAACAACCAGAGTGACAGATTAACTAATATCTAAGTCCATGGTCACCACAACTTTCCCCGTTTAGAGCGTCTGGATTTTAAAACAGTTGTGCAACACGGCCCGCGTCAGCTGGTGCACGTAGCTCGACGCCGTTGGTGGACCACTCCCTGAAGCAAGCCAACCTTTGAAGGGGGCTGTGCCCGACTATGTAAGGAAAGTAGGTCACCGAGAGGTTTCTGTAGGTCGCACAGAACATAGGAGGTGGATAAGTCTCCATATTTGACTTGTTGCGAAGGAGGCAGTGTAAACATGTCACACGGTGAATGTACAATAGAGGCTGGAAGCGCGACGGAAAATACAAAAGCTGCCAAGTTCATTCTTCTTTCTCAGACCTGCACACACACTGATAGACTCTCCCAGTATTGATCATTTATGGCAGTTCTTGGGCATAAGTAGGAGTTTTCACATGAATTTGAATAGTCTGAAACGTGTGAAAGTCGCCCACACAAAGCAAAGTGGGAAAGAACAGAAGCAGAAGCAGTTTCACGCAACGAAGAGGGAACTGAATCGCAGAACTTTTGTCACAACAGCAAACACGTTTAAAGGAAATCACTCTGTTGCAAAATATTTTTAAATTCCTTTTTCCATCTTGTGCCAAAGTACAGAGGACCATAAAAGGACTTTACAATAAACACAGGCTTTGCTGTTGTAGGGCCATAGATATGTGGTAAGTGGGGCACCAGCACACAACAGAATAGAGAGAGTTATCAATTATCATGTATTTCAAACAGACTGTCTCTCACAATGGACAACTAGATTATGACAGGAACACGCCTTGCTGATAAGGTTATTGGAACATTTTGTTTTTGAGATGTCTGACCTTCTAGATGCCTTTAAAGCATATTTTTTAAAACTAAAATTAATATATTTTCTGTGTGAACGCTGCAGGGCTGTGAGAAAATGTGACGAGATTATTGTTCTTGTTTTGTCTTTTTTTTTCTGCAACTGAGGACCCTGAGGTCAAGATTGTTTTGTTTTATTCTGGGAATCTGAGAGTTTCAGCACCTCACTTGGAAGAAGTACAGTTTGTTCTGTTAAAAATCTCTCACACGTGGCAGACGTTTTGTCAATTACAGCATTTTTAGACACAATATGTTTGACTTTCTGGTGAGATTTTATTTATTCAGTTCAAGAGTTAAAGGACAGAGGGTGCCGTGTGCATATTTGCGGCTTGTGCTAAACCAGTTCTTAACAATAGCTGTTTGTTGTAAATGGCAAATGCAGTAAATGAAACGTGTAAGATGTTGTTCAGTATGAAGGCAATGTTCAAAATAGAAAGCTATTTGACTCTGAGTTTTCATTTGCCCCATTAAATTTCCATATTTAGAATTTAAGCCTTTCATTTAACAAGAACCAGAGTAAATAATTAAGGAGTATTAAAGCATTTAGCATGAAGTAATTTGATTTTTTCATGATCTGTTCATTTATTCTTGTATTTTTCACATCAGTGATCTGATACTGCTCCCCGAAGGGTCTGGCAATCTGGAAATGAGGAGAGGAAATTTGATTAATGGATTCAAGCTGAATCAATCTGAAGCAGCAAAGCCAGCCCCGATGTTTGTGTCCAGGGTGATTTCTGAAAGGGGGATTGTGTAACAGGATGATGTAATTGAACATTTCAGGCTTCAGCCTTGCCTGTTCACCGTTGTGTTCCTGCTGCACCTGGACAGACTGAGTAGAAATCTTATTGAAGCTGCGCTGTCTGTTCCTAATTACATTTCCTGCCTCCGTGGCCTGCTGAACCTATTAGGTCAGACGAGGAGAAGACCGGGCCTGCACAGGAGATGGCACCTGTTTCAAACACACTATTTTTGACCTTTTATTCTCGTCATGTAATTTGGTAGCCCCGGCTAGTGATGCTGTGTTATTGAGCTAACTTTCCTCTAAATTGAGGGGCTAAAATAAGTTGCTCATTTATTTCGGAGTGCCTCAGGTATGCGATTTTGTGACCTGATTAAATTGTTATTGAACTTTATTTTTCACCAGAGGGACTTAATCTAAAATACATGACCTCAATTTCCGAGCAGACGTCTCGGTGACTTTGAGTTTGTACCTATTTAGATTAATAAACTCGACTAACTTTAAACCCGTCGGTCTGATTTCACTGTCAAAATCACTCCTGCTGTCCTCGAAATCAAGGCTGCCTAGCAGTGCCCCCTGTTGGATTACAAGCAGTATTACACTCGGATGCACCCATGAGTGTAGCGCTTCAGTGGGCATTTATCAGGAATGGCAGAAGCAGAAAATAAAACACTAAAATGCTTTCAGATTGGGAGTCAAGGCTGGGTTAGTACTCTCTTTGGATTGCAATGGACACGTTTGAGCTTCAAAGTATTACAGGAAACATTGAAAGTGGATGAACATACACTGGTAAAACAGACGGACTCACTTTCGAAGTAAATTAATCAAACTGAGGTGTTCATATTTGTAAAGACACTAAGAACAAAACAATCTTAATTCACTGTCTAACACACACAATCTGACCCAGACGTAATTAAAAGCACCTTTTTCATTATCTTGCCAGCCCCTTCCGTTCTACAAAAGGCAAGCAAATTGGGTGTTCTTGTAATCCTTCAAGCAACGTGTTATAAAAATAGCATAAACCCAGCGATCCTATAAGGAAGGGGTGTGTGCTGCACATTGTGCGATGGCAGATATTGTCTGTCAAATGAAGATGAGTGGAAAGTAATCAGCAAAAGCAGTGGAAGGAAAAACTGTTGCTGCTACGGTTGGAATAATCCAATGGCAAGATGTGTTTTCCTTGACTAAAAGTTCATTATTCACCTTCAGAAACATGGTTTGGCAAAGTAATCTTAATTAAAAGTCCACTTAGTAGGTCATCAAGGCATCACAGAAATGCTCTCAGGGTTGAAACAACAAATTCACAGCCTTTTTGTGAAGCTAAATGGGAGGTTAAGTGTCTTATTTTTTTTTTAAATCAACATGTTTTTCACACCTTCCCCTCAGACTTTTCACACCTTACACCCCTGCTTAAGTGCTCGCCTCCCCAGACCTCACTCTTCCTGCCTCAAACCCTTAAATGTCACCGATGAAGGACACAATACTACCGTTAAACTCTACTTCAAATGTATGAAAATGTGTGTTTTATATCAGCTCAGTGTGGATTTTGATGGACAGTGGATAACCTAAAAAAACCTTGATCCCAGCTGTAGTTAGAACTCTTCAAAAGAGCATCTTTTGGTGTCTCTCATCACTCTATTTCTCTCTCTCCTCCTCCTCCTCTCTTTCTCTCCTGTCATCGCAGCCTCCCTCCTTATCTTCTCCCCTCACTTGCGCACTTTGCCACCAGTCAGGTTCGTGCGGTCATGTTGCAGTTGCTGTGCGGCTGAGAGTGAGAGACAGCGACAGTACATCAGCTCATCAAAGCCTCTGTCAAGCAAGAACGTAAGGTAAGCTCTTAAAAGGTTATTTCATTATGGAAGTAAAAATCCACTGACATACAGGGATGAATTTATCATTTATCTTTCACATATATCTCTGTTTTCACAAGTTGGAAGGGGGAAAAAAATGTTATCTGAAACTTCTCTTATATAAATGGTGGGGTTGAACTGTGTATTTAATACTTTTGGCCTCTTTTTAAAGCCTCTATTTTCTGCTGTTGTTACAAAAAGAGTACTGGTTGTATTTTTACTACTTGTGTCAGAAACGCTCCTGACATTTTGAAACAGTGTGATGGTGTGCAACACTGACTCAAGGGGTTATTACCACACCACATTTCCGTGCGCATGTCACCAAGGATGTGGCTAAAATGGATGGCTGTGTGTTTTCCGTTTTATTATTATTATCACTATTGTTACAAATGAAGTCTCAAGTACTGCTGCTGCACTCGTTTTTGTAAAGATGAGTGGTTCTTAAGAGTCAAAACAGAGCACTCTGTCAGTCAAGATTTGCACCACGAGAGACGAGAGCCCGAGGTGGTGTAATATCCCCAGCACGCGCTCCCATATGGCTCATAGTTGAATTGAGAAATATTGTCCTTCAACCGAATAAGGCGCAATGTGGAAAGTAATTGACTTTCACCTCTTTTGCCCATATGTTTTTTCTCTATACTTTTCATAAGGTGGTGTCACATTTGTGATGGAAAAAACAGAAATAATGATCACTGGAAGCACAGTAGCGGAAAAACAATGGAATGAAGGGCATAGCGACCTGACTAAATGAACATATTCCCTATTATATAAGCCCACGACTCTCCATCAACCACTTGGAAGTATTTTTATACACTGCTCTGACAATATTTTTCCTTTAAAGTCCTTCTAGATTTATCACAGCCTATATGTTTCACGTGTTTTGGCCGTGTTGCTGCCAGTAAAACACATTTCTCATGTTTAGGGTCCTCTGCGCAAACAATTACAGGTGACCACTCCAGTTTAGCACAGCATTATTTACTTCAATCTAATCCTCTCACATCAGCGTCCCCACACGTAGTTTAATCTATTGATTGCAAACAGGCGATGCACTCGACAGGAGATTGTTCAACTCACTGTTGACCTTCACCCACCGATTAACTATCGACATACAATCCCCTCTAATTCCAAAAGGGGGCAGTCTTCATCCTGTTAAATATGATAATAGGCCGACAATATGGGTTTCCTGTTGTGCTCATCTCTGCGGTTAAATATACAGTAAAATCACAGCCGAAGCACGCTGGAAAAATCAATCACATATGAAGTTTGTATCCCTACTGAGACCTTAATATGATAATAACAAATTGCCGATGGCGCTACGGAAAGTTCAGGGCATCCCTGTAACGAAGATAGCGACGTTTTTAAACAGTTTGGGATGCAGACAATGACTCTCAGTGCTTCTACATACATAGGATTTGTATATTTAAACATACATGACGTTCATATAAAAGCACCATGCAAGTCAATCATCATCAGCTGATACTGTAATGATCATCGTGTGTTTGCGCTGACCCCTAAATGACTTTCTGTCTTGACTCACAAATGTTAATGTTCCTTTTAAGCTTCAGGATCAATATTGACAAAGAGAGAAAAAGTAATCACATTTCCTATTTTATTTGCTTTTCCACAGGAAGTCGGCTGTCTCGTTCACTTAATGTGAAAAACCTCAAGGTGAAGGTTTGTTACTAAGTAATGTGAAAGTATTTGTTTTTTTCTTCTTTTCTCACAATCAGATAAAGTACAGTAGGTACATCTGCTCTGTTGCTCCAAGTATACTTATTATGTTTACTGATATGAAAAGATTAACACATTTAAATTATTATTATTATTATTTTAAATCTAGCATCAGCCCAGAGAGTGACTGTTGAAATGGAGGAATGGGAGGTTCCCACGTCTTTAGAGCCTGCAGAAGCCAAAGGGAACGCCTCATCACCAATAGGTTTGCAATTTTCAGTAAAGTATAAAATGATGATTCAATCCAAATTCGGTACTGGGGTGCATTTGATGGCAGCTGTTTCAGTTTATTGATCTACTAAGATACATCATGATCATTGTGTTCTTCACACAGTTAACAAGTCTTGTGCGAATCTGGAATGCTACATGGTCCTGATGGAAGCAGAGAAGACAGCCATCGGCTCCATCTGTTTCCTGGCCGGTCCTGTCACGCTGCTGGAAAATGCTCTTGTGCTGGGAGTGATTGCTGCCACAGCCACATTACGACAGCGGCCCTCCTATCTGTTCATTGGCAGCCTTGCTCTGGCTGATGTCTTCGCCAGCTGCTTCTTCACCACCAGCTTCCTGGATTTTCACCTCTTTCGCTGCAGCGACCGTCCCACTGCCTACCTCTTCAAGTTGGGTGGTGTCACCATGGCCTTCACCAGCTCAGTGGGGAGTTTGCTGCTGACTGCTCTGGACCGCTACCTCTGCATCCACCAGGCCTCCAGCTATAAGCTGCTGCTGACCCGCCGCAGAGCCCTGCTGAGCCTTCTGATTCTCTGGAGCGCCAACATCTTCATCTCCTTCTTACCTCTGATGGGCTGGAGGTGTCCCACAGGCCTCTCTCCACCCTGCTCTAGCTTGTTTCCCTATATCAACCGTGGTTATCTGGCCTGCTGGACCAGCTTCATCCTGGTGCTTCTCGCCCTCATTTTAGTAGCTTATGCGCTCATCCTCTGGAAGGCCCATCGCCATGAATCCTCCATGACTAACCTCCAGGGAGCGGCGGGGACAGGTCACGCCCGCATGAGGATGGATATCCGGCTGGCTCGCACATTTGGACTCATTCTGCTCATACTGGTGAGCTGCTGGCTTCCTGCCCTCTCCTTCATGATAGCTGATGTCTCTGTGCCCCTGACCCGTACTCAACAGAGGGCCTTTGCCTTCTGCAGCACCCTCTGCCTGGTCAACTCCGCAGTAAACCCGCTGCTTTACGCCCTGCGCTGTCGAGAGCTGAGAGTCGCTCTGCTGCAGCTGCTAGAAAAGCTGTACGAGACTGGGAGGTGTAAAAAATTGACAGTGGACCCAATCCCTGGGATGCATTCTGTAGAAACCAACAACTGTACTGTGTTCACTGAGGATGAGATGCCGAGGGCCAGAACCATCCGACTTGACTCCATCTCGGAAATGGTAAACAATCAACAACTGAACACCAGCAAATAAAGGCGGTGGAGAGGTGAAGTAAAGCATAAGCAATACAGATATTGTGTCTTTGTAAGTGTGCCGGTGGTGAAAAGAGTAATATAATGTAAATACAGTTATCACTAAGATTATCACAGTCACTGTAGATTAAGAATAAATGTACATATCTAGGATTTATTACCATCAAATAAGCAGTGCTGCAAGCTGATAAGCTGCTTTTTTTGAATAAGTCTAATGTGGCAAAGACTATTAAACAGAACATTTTGAATATTATTCATAAAAGTCTGAACATATTGAGTTTTACTTGCATTGACTATAAAAGTGCAAGTAGTGCGTGTAAGGAAAAAACATTAAGCCTGGGAATTACTTTATTCATACGATAGGGGCATTATTTAGAATAGTTAAATGTTTATTGTAGTTACCAATTCATTCCATTAGTATGGTAGGTATCATTTCAAAATATAACTCAAAGTAGGTCAAGAGGACTTACACTTATCATTTAGGACAGGAAATGTTTCGTGTATGTGCTGCCATTTTTTAAAAATTTTTTTTAAAGTGAGATGGTGCTGTCGTTTCACCCATAACCTCTGACCTCTCTGCCTCACTCCCACACCTATGAAATTTTGTGTTCTGTGAACTGAACTGCTGACTTTTTAGGTTCGCTAAACAGTAGAAAGGCGGATTTGTTGTTGGCATGCTTCTTTACTTTTGAGCGTATGACCTCGGGCATGCGGGAACAGAGGATCCAGAGGGTTGCGTAGCTTAGCCGCACATGGATGCCAGGACCCCACAAAAGCCCCATGCACAGGAGAATTTCACACAATGTTCACCACATGAATCCAAGCAGTGTGCTGAGGTGAATGGAGCACAGACACTAGAACAGTCTTTGCAATTGTAACAACTGGCAGTTGCAGTAGAGCGCATACTGGCAATGCACTTGTGAAAATGGATAATCACAAAAGTGACACTTGTGGATCTTGTGTTGTTTTCTACTATTGTGAACACCTGTTTCAACCATTATATGGACTGATTAAAAATAATACTTGACCTCTGTTTTGGCTCATTTTTTTTGTGATTTGTGTGCCAATCATTGTGTTGATTTTCAGGGTGGATCTTTGCTGCCATTTTCAAAAAAAATCAAAAATTGGTGAGAAGATGCATTACTGTTAGGGGCAATAGATGGCTTATAGGGAGAGGGAGTCTACAGCAATTTTGCTCATACTGCAAGGAGATTCAAGTGTCAGTTCAAATGATCCTGCCTAATACATCCCAGCAACAAACAGATGAAAGCTACACTATGTAATGTTATTTTGAGTATGTGTTAAGCTTTTTCCTAGTGGGTGTAAGATTTTATTTTCTGACATTTATGTACAGTAATTTATAATGCATTAATAAGGCATCAATTACATTTTTAAGTCACTATTTCAATTTGGGATCCAAGTTTATTTCATCTTTAGCGGTGAAACTTATTTGCAGAGAAACTCCTTGCATATAAAAGTAAAAAACAGCAGAGTTTTAAACCCCAGAGAAGCTTAAAATTGGTTATTGATGCATGTAACACAACAGGAGCAGTGTGGCGCCTGTAGATAATGAAACCACAGCAAGATCAGATCAGAAAGGAGGCTATCTCAGCGCACAGAGCCAATGTTTTCGTGCAGTGCATGCAAAACAATACCGTTCCTATTTTCAGTCAAACTGTGTACTGTGAGCAGCCCCCTAACAATCGTATGCTGCTCAGGGACTCTATTCCAGGACATCATGGCCATGCAGCAGCCGCAGCACAGAGACATTGCTTGTTAGAGAGGGTTATTTATCCACGCAGATTTTATAATTTGAAGAGGAAATGCAACAGTTTAAAGTGGGGCCTGTTTGCTGCTGACAGAAGGCAAATAAATAATAGAATCTGCTTTCTACCAAAGAAGATTAAAGTGCAACATCACTCTGGGGTTCAATTTTAATCTACCTGGTTTACCTGATCACCACCACCAGACGTCTCGTGAACCTTCAATTTGAGTTCAACGGAAAGCAATCAACAACAATAATAGGGTTGGACGACCGGAAATCGTAGCGTAAGAATAACGAAAGAGACAACAAAATCAGAATTTTTTCGGGTAATAATGAAATATATTAATCAAAGAGGGAGTGTGGATAATGATTAGGTAAAAATATGGCAACAACAAAAAACATATCTCGCGTAAAGAGTTGAGAACCCCCCTCTTTTCCGCAATGGTACGATCCGCCATTGTGACGTTTTAAAAATTCAGCAGGCAGGGTCGGCAGTTGGCTTACTACTCAGAGAAGAAAATCCGTTGTTGTGGAGAGGAAGAAAGGCGAAGAAGAAATTCGAGGAACGTATTACGTACAAACAACGAGCGTTAAACCCCATTTTTTTGCGGGTTATTTTTCTCTCACTTATTTTTTTCCGTTTTGTTTCGCTAACATGGCTTGTGGAGCTACGTTAAAGCGGTCGATGGAGTTTGAGGCCCTCCTCAGTCCCCAGTCTCCCAAGCGGAGAAGGTGCAATCCACTACCGGGGACTCCTAGCACTCCGTCCCCACAAAGATTCAACCTCCGTCCCCCAGTCGACAGCCCTGCGCATTCGATGTCTCCTCCGGCCATCGGAGGCGAACACAGGCTCACCCCAGGTATGAAATGAAAGCAAATTTGACGTCTTTTTCTGCGTTTCAGGGTGGGTGTCATGGGGGAGGGGGTTTGGGTGGAGTGGAATGGATAGCTAGCTACTTGAGAGAATCAGGATGGGGGTTGGAGGCTAAACGTTAGCCTACCTAAGCTAACGTCAGGAAGGGGAATGTCGTCGCCAAGTTACCGTCAGAGATCATTTTACTGATCGTAATAAATCAGTACACACACAAAAGTAAGAAGTGGCTCGGTGGACTATTCGTTTGTGGCATCTAGCCAGCTCTATGTATTGTTTCCTATTTGACTGAGCTAGCTTACATCGGCTAATGTTGGTTTCTTCATGAAAATATCAGATTCTCAGTCTTTTTGCATTGCTAAGTAACAGCATTTCTAGCATTGGGGAAGCTACATAAACACTCCCTTTATCCGCTTTGCTCAGTCAGTCTTCAGCTAAGGTACCACATGTTCCCAGTTATTTAACATATTTAATTTAACTTAAATCTTCAAACTGATAGTAATATACAAAATTAAGATCCTGCTTATATTTAATCACCTGGGTAACAGTCTAGTCTGATGGCTCTCCAGTAGACAAATGGCATCACAGCAGCAGCCAGATCATTGCAGGCTGTTAATTAGGAGCTGCCAGGGTAATGTTCCTTGGCTTTAGTGCCACAATTGTCTTGCATTGAAGTGGGGGTTACCATTATACACCACAACCATTTCTTTTCCTTCTCAGGCCTGGAAGGCATTGTTCATTTCCTTTATGCCTGAACTCTACTCTCCCATTGAGTTGAAAATGCAGCTCCACTGAGAGCGTTGGACGGGTGTGGGGCACACAAGTAGACGCAAGATAATTACCTAGATGTCCCCTCTGCAACCCACTGGCTTTATTGTATGTGCCAGTCAGTGAGATCTGGCAGCATGACAGCTATATGGCCTAATCCTTGTGCTCTTTGAATTCAAATTAAAAGCTGCTGGATGTCCTTGAAATTATTAGATCACTTCATGCCTGTGAAAACTGATGATTACAAGACTGAGGTATCTCTATTTGCACAGAGCTACACTGATAACTCCCAGATTGTGTGTACCAATTAGAATGTCATCCCTTTAGCACAATGTTACCTTTTCAATGCCAATTAGCCCTCCTGATGCTATGTATTGTCTTCCATTTTGCCACTCAGTAGTGACTATTTCAGTGACAGTGAAGGAATCCTAAAGGCATGAATGCATTCCTAGTAATTATCTTTATTGGCAAGGAACTGCTTGGAGAGGAAGTGTTTTTGTTTATGAGTGAGCCATCCTTCATATTTACCCAGTGGTTGTTTTTGGACCACTTGTCTCCTCCAATAAGCTAAATCCAAAGAAGCTTAAATGTTGTGTCTTCTTTTTTGAATGTCCTGAATTAAGAACACTCATAATTATTATAATCAGCATAGAAAAACTCTCTGTTAGTGTTCTGTTGGAGAACATTGGTTTTATTAAAACAATAAACTGGCAAGATTCACAATTTGCATAGTGTGCTTGTTGCATCATTTATTAAGAAACAAAACTGGGTCTCGGTTGTTCCTGGTTTTGCACCGTAAGGGAAAAACTGCATATCAGTGTGCACATCATTGCATGATGAAGCTTGGGCACGCTCATACTGAGGGCAAGCGAAGCTTTGCTGACAGCGTTTACACACATAGATGTAGGTGTTGATAGAGATCTCGTCACAGTTGGCTTCTTGTGTGAAATGTATTTGTTTATGCTTATTTGTAAGTCTTATCACAATTTACCCAAGATTCATAATGATTTAGGAGTACTTTGTTCCTAAGAGCATACAGGACAGCTCTGTGTAGTAGAGGAAACAGGAGGTGAAGACATATTTATTTGCCCGTGTTATTTATGCAGTGACTTGGTTATTTTGCTCCAGCTACAGAGTGGTGTTCATTGTGTAGCTATGTAGTACATTAGGGCACAAAATGGATCGTTCGGATAAGCTTTCTCCAGGTTGTCTGATCTGACATTGCTTATCTAGCTCAAACTTTATGTTAAGAGCCCAGCAGGCCTCTTGTGTGTTCCATTTCCGCCTGCCTCGCAGAATTAGAGCACAGCAGCTGCAAGGTTGAAGTCATGTAGTTTTGTCTGCTTCATACATGAGGTCCAGATACCTGGCATTATGCTCACCTTCACCGAAAGAGGCCCCCCATGGGAGTGGCACTGCAAGCCAGCCTTTCTGGTGGGGTTTGCCAAGTGAAAGCAGTTTTGTATTTAGCGAAAGGTCAGCTGTCATCCCTCCCACCCAGCTCTACCCACACATGCTTTCCAGCTAGTCAGGTTTGCTTGTGGAAAGCAAGTCTGTGTGTGCAGGCGAGACATAAGGATCTGTCACTGCCAAGGTATCTCTGGGTAATTGTTTCATAATGTAGATAAGATCACCCCCCCCTCCCGTCTTGCGCTGCCTAATTCTTGTGCTGCCAGTCTGGGCTTGTGCTTTGGTAAAATCCCCCCATATGACAGATGAGCCTCGTGTTTTCCTGGGACATGATGTTACCGAAAAGACTGAAAAGACTCTCTTATGCCAGGTTTACAGCTTGGACAGAAAGTTGCACAGGTCATAGGTCAGATCTAAGCTTGGGTCAAGCTAAAAAAGTGTTCAAGTATTGCGGTCCTAAAACACAGCCTGTTCTCTGGTCAAGAAGCTCTTAGTGACAGAGTAGTGGTGGGTTTCGTTCATGATTAAATTAAATAACTCACTTCATTCTTCAAAAAACTATTCATTGGCAACTTATCAAGAGTATAGTAAGCACAGCTGGGATGCTTTCTTCTCGAGGATATTTGTGGTAGATGTTCATTATTCAAACTCAATTTCATTTTGTCTTTTTAGCTTTAATCGGGTCACTGTTGGATGTTGGAATGTGGATCACTGAACGGTACATGAGCCCCACCAGAGTTGATTAGACAAGTCTGGAAATCATTCAATCTTCTTGGTGGTCCATTGTTAAGTTGCTATTTTCCATTTCTGCTGTTTTTAAAACCAACAGAGGTCAGTCTTAAATTCTTTACTACACAAGGGCAACTTGAACTGACCAGTAATACATCACAGCCTACTTCCTTGCATTTGGGACATTCGAAACCCACCTCCCCCCACAGTCCTTTAGCAGTGGAGGGTGAAATGAAATGAGTCAGCTTTGTTTTCTCCCCACTACCATGTCCAATCTATCTGGCCGATCTCCTGTTGTATTCACTGTTTGGCCTGTGCCTAAGCCTTTTAGCCGAGGCTTTCTCCACTGTGTTCCCCTGGCTCCCGGAAGTCTCTGTGATTGATTGCTTGGCCTGGTTGTGGCAGGGTCATTGTTGCCAAGCAACGACCGCTGTTGAGCTACTAGTAGTTGGCAGAGCTGAAAGTGACATGCAGTGGGAGACAGTTTTCA